TTGTTATTTCATTCATACATTTTTTTAAGAAAAAAGCTATTTGTACAAAAAGAATTTGACAAAAATGTTGACAAACACTCACATGATTGCCGGCCCCACATGAATAAAAAATTGAAAATAAAAAGTGGGCCCCCCCACATGTGAGGGTTTGTCAACATTTTTGTACAAATTCTTTTGTACAAGTAGCAAGGTCCTACACGATAATGATACCTATAAATGATTGTGATAATTGCACGGTTCATCCGCAACACATAGCCACAGGGAAATTAGATTTTTAGTTGATATTGATAAAAAATTATGAAATTTAAAATTAAAAAGTTGTGAATTCTAAAAAAATATACGGTTAAATTCTTTGATTTAAATTAAAATTAAAATTTTAATCTCTATTAAATAGGAACTAAATAATCGAGTGGCCCTTGCTTAAAATTTTAATTTTTATCATTTTATATTTACTAGTAGGTGTCTTTTAATATTTTTTAAGAGCTTAGGGACTAACTGAGCAAAGTCAAATTAGGGTAGAGGTCCCTTATTTAACAGCCGACGAATTAGGTCAAGTTTTTAATTGGCCCATGTTTGAGCCAAATTCTCATTTTCATTCTTATTATTCTGCTAATTTTCAACCACACATTTTTAATAAAATAATATTTTTCATTACATTAATGATTTTTCCTTCTTTTTCAACCACACATTCACCATCACATCACAAAAAATGCATTCTCTCTTTAAAAAATGTACATCAAACACACTCTTGATCAGAAAATAAAATAATTAAAAGATTTTTTCCAATTTAAATTCAAACTGGGATTTGCATCTATTTATTTGTCTCGTGTTTAGCAAAGCTCTTAAATGTTTAAAAGCTATAGTTGTTACAGAATATGTAAATAATAAGTGAATAATAGGTTGAAAGTTAGATTTACAAAATATATCAATAAAATGAAAACTCAACACAATAGATTGAGGACCATCTACAGCAATTTTGCCAGTCGTTTTTGTGCCGTTTCAGTTACTCGACTTTATTTCCTCGGAGACACGTAGCTGTCGAAAATGTAACAGTTTTGTGCCACGTGGAAGAATCATCTGTTTGTGGTACCAAGATATCAACTTCCAACATTTAACTTCCACGAATACTTAGAGGATAATTACAAGAAGAGAAATGATGTGTGTATGACTGTACAAATGAGTTTTTCTATTACAACAATTATGCAAAGTGTACAATGTTGTTGACAATATGTCACGTAGTATGTTGTGTCATTGGATAGTTTAAAAAATAATTTATTTTTTCAATAAAAAAAATATTGGTTTGATAAATGAACATTGAATCCTTAATAAATTGATTTTCAACGTTTTATAAATAGTTTGAATCCGTGTTAAGCCCATATTTGATGATCATTATTTAGACGAAAATAATGTTTTCAATAGTAATTTTTAAAAGAATGTGTGTTTAAAAAGTATGAAAATTTTATATTTACGTGCAAAATATTGTATTGTATAAATGTATGATTAAAAATGAGTACGTAGAAAAGAGAGTTTTCTTGTAATGATTATCAAACAAGGGCGATAGTTGCACTTAAATTTGAAATTATACATATTTGCGTGAAGGTATTGACAATTTGTGACCAATCGGGCACTCTTATTGAGTTGATCGAACCATAAAGAGACTGAGCTTAAATGTATTGCTCATGCCAAGAAGGTAAAATCTAAGGGTGTATTTGATGGATATTATTTTGGAAGAATGTATTTTGGAATAGTAGATTAATGGAGAATGTGTGGTTGAAAAAGAAGGAAAAGTTATTGATGTGATGGAAAATATTATTTTAATGAAGAATATGTGGTTGAAAATGAGTA